ATGTAGCACTGTATTTCTCTTCCAGGCTAAAGGCTCCTCTCTGCCATCATCATCATCACGATACTCACTCGCCAGCTTTTCTGGTTCCTTCCGAGATTGTAACTTTATTCCCCCCCCCCCTTCCCCCTCTTGTCGTTTTGCTGGTAATAACCTGCTTCTGCAGTATCTGGCAGGGTTTAAAAAGCGGGGGGGGAAAAAAAAAAGCAAACAAACCAAAAAAAAAAACACCCAAAAGACTTTCTTCTGGCCTCTGCTGTGACTCAGATCCCCGAGGTTGCTTGAGCTCCAGTGACCTGGCTTGTAGATCCCTCTTCGCATCCTCTTTCAGGATCCGATGTGTCGTGTGTTCGCTCGGTTCTCCCGTCTCCTCCTTGCCTCAGGGTTATGCGTGTGAGCCTGATGCATCGCCCTGTACGAATCCGCCCTCCGCCACAAGCTCACAGGTGTCTGACGTCCGAGCTGCTCCCTCGGAGACGGGAGAAGCAGAAGGGATTAGAGCGGAGACGGTTTTAAGAGCGTTAGCTGGAAGCGAGGACAGCTGTGAGCTTGGGGCCGTTGGGAGGCCGGCCGATCTCTCTTGGGGGGAGCGGGAGAGGCGGGCAGCGTTGCTGAGGAACCCTGACTCAATCTGTCCCTTCTCCTTTCACAGGGCAGCGAGGCGAAACCCCATCCCTCCTCACTGGAGCTCAGCTTCGTATTAACTCCCCTCCCCACACACGCACACCTCCCGATTTTATAGAGCCATTTTAACGGTGCCCCTGCGGCCTCTTGCTCCCCGCGCCACACTGGAGCTGGATTTAAGATGTAATTTTGAGAGTCAACCTGTATTTTTTTTGCAGCAGCTGGGTTAGAGGAGGAGCCTTTTAGCCCCTCATGAGCTGACCTCTCTCGGGTATTTTTAGAGTGAAGTGATGGTGTGCAAAGGGCTTTGATGGTCTCCTGCCGAGAGCTCTCCCCGCGCGGTCCTCTGGCAACCGCGGCTGGAACAGAGCGTGAGAGAGAGGGAGAGAACAGAAATGATCGTTGCTGACTTGACCTTTCGGCACCTCCCGTTTTTCTAATCTGGGCTATTTTTATTTTTGTTTTTTTACAGCGAGATTTTTTTGATCTTCAGCTACAGTAAGTTATTCAAAATTTTTTTCATTTTTCCTGCCTTTCCACTGATTTCCTTTTTATTGTTGTTGCTAGTTACTATTACTATTATACTACTATAATGCTGATGACTTTACTATGATGATATGTTGCTGATGGTGATGATAATGACACTGCTGATTTTTAACCGGATGAAATCGAGTTTTTCTGAGTGTTCCTGACTGAGCTGGGTTTTTACCCTTTGTGAGACACAGCGAGGTTTTTAAAATTTTTAAGTGGATTGATCACGTTAAC